TCCGTATGGACGTCTCTCTCTCTCTCTCTCTCTCTCTCTCTCCCTCTCTGCATCCGCCATCTCTGTCCCCCATCCTCACGAATCCCCTTCGACGCGTTTCCACCATCCTCGACCCGCGTGATATTTTTTTCTTTTTTTTCGACCGCTTAATCGCACACCCGCATCCCCGTCTCATTAAGTAACGGCGCGAAGGTAATGCCGATGACGAATGGCATTCTGGAGGAAGAAATGAAAGTAGCTTGCCGGCCGGGGATATATATTTTTCCCCGCGTTACACGGCTGATGATTCGCCTTTACGCCGTGGCACGCACGCACGCTTCACGCCACTTTTTTCAAAGTGGCCGCCGCCGCCGCCGCCGCTGGGAAATGTGTGCTTTTCATCCTCCCCTCTTCGCCCTATTTTTCGCAGGTGAGATAGGAAGGGGGTGAGCGATTTTTATTGGGCGATGTAGAAGGGGAGGGAGGTTGATCTTGAGGAATTAATACTTGGATCTGGAATTGGGTTTGTAGTTGTTATTTCAAAAGTGAAGTTGAAAGATATATGTAACGCGAATGAAAACTTCTTTTTTATGTTTTTTTAGTAGGAATGATTTCAAAGTTTTTAGAGCTTGAGAGATAAAATTGTTTAAGTAAATTGCAATAGTATCATCGATGAGCAAATGATACGATCCTTGCAAGTATTATTGTTTTATTATAAAAATTATTATTCGTGTAATTTATTTCCATCTAATCAAATTTTTAATTAATAATTTGGTTATATTTGCTATATAAGAATCATCATTCGTTCAATTTCCATTCCCCATCGATGTTTTTATACAAGCAATAATTCTAAATTGTTCATAGAAATTTGATAACCCTCTGTATTTTAAGTTCAAATTATTCTTACGAAAAAATTTATGATTTTCAATCTTTTATATTTTATAAAAGATACATACATGTATAGTAAAAATTGCCTTCTCGAACGAATATCTCGTTTTTTTATATATACTGCATTCGGATATTTATTCGAACAATTTAAAGCCTTATTAATCAACAAAGAAGAGATGAAAATCTACGATACAGTTTATCATGACACTTACATTGTTTTCTCGTGTCCGTTTGTCTCGTAAAAATAGAAATAAAATTTTAATATCGCTTGATTTTTTTTTTTTAATTTTCAAATTATGCGCCTGTAAATCAACTCGAATGGAATAACGTATGATTTTATAGTCAAAATTCAATCTCTGATTCCCTTTCATTTTTTCCTTCAACCGTTTATACAATTATCATTTTTATATTTAATTAAATTCTGACTCGTCGATATTCAATTACGTGTAATGGTAATCGTAATCACCTGTTATTTTTATTCATAGACTGGAGAAAAAACTGGAAACATCTATTTTAAATCATTTGCGTGATCGGATGAAAAAAAAAAGATTCATAAATGAATCTAGTAAACTATATGTATTTTTTTAAAACGAGCCTTGCGCAGAACGTGTTTTATTCATCAGTTCAGCAGATTATAGCAATTTAAATCAATAAGTGATCTCCGCAAAAAATGGACAAACCTGCTATATTACGTATCGCTAAATCCCCTCTCGTATTACTTTGCAGATATAAATTCAAATCTATTCCATATTCGTAACTATTTTAAGATGATCTATACTATCGGAATAATCATATTCCTCATCTATACAAAAAAACAGTCTTGTTTTTCGTTTAACTCGATCACCTGACACGAACCTATGACTGTCATTTACATTTTGAAATGTTGAAAGAATATAAAAAGATCGACTTGTATAAAACTATCTGTATTCTTTTCATCTTCAGAATTCCGACATCATTACTTAATTATCTGATTGTTAAATCTCTAATTTACCAATATCATAGTCCTTCCACGCTATAATTTCAATACGAACTATTCAAAAGTAAAACTGACTTGACAAAAGAAATGATACGCAATCCAAATTATTTTATCCAATAAAATAAGGAAGACGAATTTAATGATGAAAAATTTAAGGAAGATGGAAAGATTAAATATTTGTAAGATAAAAATAAAAGGGAAGAAAAAACTCGTTAATGAAGAATAATAAAAGGGGAAAGGGTATTAAACTATCTAAAGTATTAGAAATAATAACAAAAAGGAAAAATAGAAACGAAGTCATTGAAAAAAGAAGCAATATTTATTAAGAATGCAAATGAGAGTAAATGCATTAGTTGTTTGCAAAAGATAATAATATATATATATATTATATCAAGTATACAGTGACCATTTATGAAAAATATTCTCGAGATCAATTTTTGAAAGTTTTATTCTCGATTCGCGCCTCAAAAATAAAGAAAAAAAAAGAGAGAAAAGAAATAAGCAAGCAAACATGAAAAATATTGAAAGGAAACTCAATAAAAAAAAAATAATTGAAACGAAAGAAAAACACGAGAAGATTTTACCAATTTTATATTCCATCATTCGTATCCACTTAGAAAAAAATATTCTCAAAATTAATATCTCTAAAAATTAAAAAAGAAGAGAGAGAGAGAGAGAGAAAGTATTAAAAATTCATTCAAAACAAAAGCAAAATGCGCGATGAGAAAAAAAAAGGAGAGGAAGAACGAAATTCGCTGAAAAAAGAGAAATTAAGAAATTGAGAGGAACAGAGGGGAGGAAAATTTAAAGCGAGAAAAAAGTAAGAATAAGAAAGAGGAGACTCACCACGTCGGTGTTGGCCGCCGCGATCGTCGACGTAGGCGTCCACCACCCCGCGGTAGCGGATGTCGTACTTGTAATGACACCAACACCCGTAGCTACAGGGATGGATCCGCTCCCAGCCAATCCTGCCGAGCTCGACAAATCGCCCACGTCCATTCGATGTTCTTTAATCTCTCGATGCAAACCGTTCGCGCCGGTCCCTCGAGCCGTCTGTTCCGTGTTCGATGTCGCGACCCAACATTTTCGTGCGTGTCTTACAAGGCCCGATGTCGTCGGATATTTCTTTGCCCACCGCGGATTCTCACGATCCCCAGGGTAAACCCGGGATCACCGGGCTCCCTTTATCCTCTTCGGATACTGCGCCGTGAACTGTAACCACCGACGGGAATTCGAATCGTTTATTATTATTCGTTTCGCCAGGCTTTAGTTTACTTTGTTTTGTTTATCGCCGTTTGTTTTGACCGCAGTGTGATTCGTGGTTTATGGTTTATTGGCATATTGGGTTTATGTAAGGAGTCGTATGGAAGAGCGTGCCATTTGTTAAAATGGTGATCGAAAATGAACGATCAACGAAGAGAATTTGGGATTTGGATTTGTTGGATTCTGAACGATCTCTTGCGTTACGATCAGGTTGCATCTTGGATCGATAGGTCTGTTTTCGACGCATAGTGTTGAGGAACGTGAACGATCTGGATATTGTTTCGTGAGTTGTGTTAAATAGATTACGAGTAATTTGGATGCAGGCCAATTTTATTGTTTCTGCGAAATAATTGGATTAGATTCGTGGATTTGCGAGGATTTTTAATTAATAACGTATTTGTGCTCCTTGTTGTTGAAATATCGGAGAGGAAAGCGTACTTCTCTCGTGGAGATTGTTTCACGGAGGGAGGGAAGAATTTTTTGGTGAAAATAATTGAAAGAGTAAAGGAAACGTTGTAATCAGGGACGTGATAATTAACTTCTCAACGGTCGGTTAATATTTTTACCACGACGATGTAATATAAGGTGTTTAAATTTTTACTGTTATCCAATTAACCAGCGATCATATCTACACTCCATTTTTTACAATTGTGAATTTCAGAAATATGGAAGAAAAAAATGGACTTAACTCTTGAAAAAAAAAAAAAGAAAAATCACAAGAATGGACAAAGAAATGTGAAAAGAAATTTAAAATATTAATTATGCGCAAATGCTTTCTTAAAATTCTAAAAAGTTGTTTCGTCAAAACAGCGAGCCTCCAACGATCGCACAACACGAACTACGTGAGAAAAGGTGTGAAACGATAAAAAGCGAATATAAAAATAAGAATAAAAAAATAAAAAATACGTGTAAAAAGTCGACAATGTTAATTCATCTTTCCTCGTAAAACTTTCTACGAATCGAAGAACAAAGAGAACCCGTATCCCCCAATTTCCCCAAAAAATCTCGAAACATTTCTTCGAAAACGAAAACCAAGACAATACCATTCCATCAATCGCGACACGATACGAATAAAAATATAAAACGAGAAAGGAACGATGCCAACGTTATCCATTTTCCACCTCCGATTCTCGCAAAGATCAAGTATTCCCGAAAATCCCCTCAATCAAAATATTCCTCGTTCTTTCGAAAACGAAAACAGATAAAATTCCATCGGCGTGCCAAGCTTCCGGCGATCAACGCAACCGAGGGCCGCCATTTCTTGCCGCAACCTCTTCGAGATAACATGTCGTGTTTACAGCGGTGTAACGCCATTACCATGTTAAGAAGCCCGCCTCGCAACAGACGCATAAATACGATCGCTAATTACGGCGCTGTCCACGTATTAATTTCATCCCGTGCGCGGGAACCGTCCCGTGTAACCGCGACGCGTGTAAGCGTACACGCGCTTCCGATTAACCAGATTTCAAACCCCTCCCCCACCCCCTTGATGAATTCGAACGAAGGAAAACGAATACACCCCCTTTTGCCAACATTTGCCGCGAATTTCTTTTCAACGGCTCGTAATTTCACGTTAAAATATAGCGACGCTGTCCTCCTCGGGGAGAAACGATACGCCGGAAGCTGTTATCGCGGGTGGCCCGCTCGAAGAAGTAATTCATAATTTTACGGGAAACAGCGTATTTAAAAATTGCACGGATATGCAATTGTCACGCGTTTATATTACTTTGTAGAAGTTGTATTTAAATTCTCGTTAAAATATCGTTTTAATTTTAATCCAATTTTATCCGAACGAGGAAATAATGAAATTCGACGCGAAAATATTTTCACGTTTGAAAAATCCGGTATCGAGAACTCCAGTTGCATTCGATTCGAGTGACGAATGGGATCCTTATCTCCTAATGGACGCGTATAAAAAAATATCGCGCATACAGAATTTTAATTAAACCGCTCGAAGATTGATTTCTAGCTGGTCGAGGAAGTAAGAAGAAAGTTCGAAATGATGCATGGATCGGGAAGCAAATCTTTCGTTTCGTTATTTCTTTTTTTTTTTTTTTCTATATATACACATACATTTCTTTATTTCTTCTTCGAGTCTTGGCGATTCAGAAAATAGTCCCTGCGAATCGATCGAACGAGTAACGGGTAAACACGGCGGGGTTCGGTAAATTTTATCGCGCTGCGTCTTCCTTAAATAATGACGAATTAATTAAGGTGGCGTATCGCGCCGCGAAAGACCGGTTTAACATCGGGTGTGTATCGTCGCCTCCACACTGGATACTATAAATCCACGGTTTCTACGGTCTAACGTTCCCGTTCACTGCGGGAAATATAACGCGACGAAATGAATTTCCACGTGATCGTGGAACGCGCACCGGTCGGGAAATTGCAATATTATTTCAATATAACGAGCAGGCCACGCTCAACGGGTTGGCAAATGGGGTTGTAACGATCCCTCTTTCCGCTCGATTATTGATCCGATCGTTAAATTGTTTCACGATCCTTTGTGGACAAGGTTCATCGTCGATGATTGATTTGTCTTTCGACAGTCAATACTGTCGAGTTAGAATATTTTGGAGAAAAGAAAATGAATTTTAATTCTTGCGATGATCGAAATCAGCTGAATTTTGTTATATTTGCGCGTGAAGAAAACGCGTAGAGATAAATAATTTTAAAATTATTTCGAAATCTAAATCGTTATGCGGATTAAATTTTGAAGTTTCATCGATAAGAAAACGCGACAAACGGAATTTCAATTGCCCCTGTTAATTAATGTCCACGTCAGTTTGAATGTGTTGGCGAACAAACTTGAAAATTCGCGTCCACGCTCGAGCAATGTTGTAATTCAAATTAACGAAAGATGTTTCTCACCGAGAACCCGTTTTCACGGAATTGTGCATCGAGCATTGAATCATAGAGAACGAGCAAGGAGTAGAAGAAAAGGCCGAGCGCAGGCATCACGCGCGATTTGCCAGCGAATATTTTTCAAAGATGATTCCCCGCGGGATCGGGCAGAGAGGCTTTTGCAACGTTACCACGAGCGCAACAAGTTTGCAGTCCTTGAAATAATCGCTCTTTTACCCGCACAAGCGTTACCGCGTGTATGCAAACGTAATACATCGCGTCACTCTTTAGAAGACCGCCTGGCAAACGCTGGATTAGCAGCATCGCACAATCCGAGATGGGACTAAAAACGACCATACTCTCGTCGACACCGAGCCATTCCGATTATTCAACCGTCTGGACACCTCTGGAACGCGTTGGAATTTTAACTTTTCCGCGAAAAAAAAAATATCTAATCACAAGAGTAATATTTCTCAACGACTATCGAAGGAATTGAAAAATTTGTTATATCTTTATATTTCGTTCGTTCGCGCAGCAAGAATTTTGTGAATTTATTTTACGAGGAAAGATTAAAAAAAAAAAGGAAAGTAAATATAATATGTATAATGATAGATTAACGAATCTAGTTGAAGGATCGACAGGTACAACAAATTGTCAAAATCGAATAAGGGAAGGTGTATGTGTGTACTCTGAAGCGTAATGCGCTTTACGGATGAACGGTTCGCACGATTATCTTTTTCGACTTTCCCAAGCTGTCACGCGTCATTAATATCCTAATTGTCCGTCAACTTTTTCACCCTGGCTGACCATCGGTTCTTCGAGGCATCGGTGATAATAATAACAACGACGATCGAAAGGCGAAACACTCGCCTACCCTCCCCTTCTCGCCTCCTCCATCCTCGTTTTCGGCCGACTCCCCGTCTTTTTTCAATCTTTTCCTTTCCTTCCTTTCTTCCTCTTCCTCCTCTTCTCCTTCTTTTTTCTATCGCAAGCATCACGATTGCTGCCAGCCCGTGGCAGCCAATGAGTGACGAGCGGCTGCAACTTTAATGAACCGGTTGTGAGCGGCACGTCACACGGATATCATGGTACCGACTGCAGACAGTTGAAATTGTTGTGCCAGGACGTCGTGACAAATTAATCGTCGACGAATCGGTGGAAGGGAAGAGGAGAAAGAGAAGAAGAGAGGATCGAATTGATTTTTCGTAGACCTATACCCTCTCCACGCACGAACTTCTCGAATTCTTAATCTTTTCGGATTTTTCAACTCCACGCGACCGATCCCTCGAATAACCGACTCCTGCAAAATCCTTCGAATTTTGGAAACAAAGTATATATATATATATGCGATGGATAAGATCACTATACGATAATATTATAAATAAAGAACTGGATATTTTTACCATTCGATTTGCGAGAAGTCAAACTGTATCAGATTCACGCGAACCACTACCGCTGTCCACCACAGGCCATAAATTTCGTAAGAATGTTTATGTTTACGTTTCAAATTCCACTTGCCCTACAAGCAGAATCTTCCCCTCGTCATCGGGCATTTTTCTCGGAAATACACAATTCGTGCGTGCACAACCACCACAAGTCACCGAACATGAAAATAACTCGAAAATAATTCTCTCAAATCCTCCGCACATCCGACAATCTCTTCCATACTCGTTCACCAATCCTCATGTTAACGTGTTAAACCAACGTACCGTCCAACGATAGATAACGAATCGAGAGTCTCACTGTAGTATTCTTCCTTCCTTCCACTTTCTCAACGATCAACCGCGCCTCGCGTCCTCTCGCGCACCATCCTCGACCACCGTCCCCATGGGGCTGCTGTGTGTATGCACACTCGCGTGTCCTTGCTTCCTCGAAATCCTGATATAATGTAATATTCGAGAACGTGGCTCGATTTCGGTGGAGCGTAGCTCGTGAGGCGGCGTCCACTCGGAACGAGACGTCGCGAGACGACTCGGAAGCGGCGGAGGAAGCCACGGGCGGCGGTTAAATTCGAGCAAAGGGAGGCGCGAAAAATGTGGAAAGAGCCAGGGAAGACGGGTGGAAGACGCCGGACGTCGTGGAGCTCCGGTTGTGCGAATGAAGAATGGAAGGGAGAAAGAAGGAGGAAGCGTGGGACAAAACGGGACGAAGAAGAAGAGGACGGAGTCGTGGCTGGACCACCGGCCGGCTCGGGGCGTGCGCTCGT